AGTAGTAGTAGTAGTAGTAGTAGTAGTAGTAGTAGTAGTAGTAGTAGTAGTAGTAGTAGTAGTAGTAGTAGTAGTAGTAATCGTCTCGGCCGACGGGTGAACTATCCTTGTCACCATCCGCACATCAGCCGTAACCAGCTTAATTCTTAATTAGAAGCAGTGTTGCTGCTAAGGGCCCGTTCGTTGGCTCCGGGCGACCCGCAGGCATCGTTTCTATCTTTCGCCCGGAACGCAGAAGACTCGGTTGTTCGAGACCATGGACGGACTTTCATAAAAAAGGCCATGAACAGTCCAGGAACCGTGCGAAGAGGATGAAGCAGATACATGAAGGCGGTTACTGACAGTAATTAGTTAATACCTTCGACAAAGCCATCGTTTAAGTCGAGGACGAGGGGCCTGCCCGCCCAGTCGAAAGTCGACAGGAGCCGAAGGAAACGCAGAAAAGTCGCCAGTGGAGAGGCCGAGGAGAGCGCAGCCTCATCTTCCTCCACACCAAAAGGACTTTCCTGGACTGTGCCTTTGACGGGTTTCGTAAAGAAACCTGCGCGCACTACCATCAACTCCACCGCGATCTCGGAGAGGCGGAACTCTGGGGAGAAGTCGCTGTCGCCGAGGAGGGACAGCGGACGACTGGCGGGTAAACCACGGGGCTCGCTGCCCAGGTCCGGACACCGGACTACTGGCAGACCGTGGCCAGACAGCCAGCGCTTGGCCAGGCGACAGGCCTCTGGAAAGGTGTTGAGGTGTACTCGCGAGACAGTGTTCAGTTGACTGGCGACCGCTGGCAGCTTCTCATTAAAAAGCAACCAACGCTGGAGGTCGACCGGTGTGCGTAGGGCAGCAGTGGTGCCCGACAGGGCCATTGATGGAGACTGCTGTTTGCTACGGGCTTGCTTCGAATTGGGAAGAAGGCCTGTGGCCCGCTTCAATAGCAGAAGCTCCAATGGTTGGTAAAATGACACGCGTAGGACCAGGCCACCCTAGGCGGAGGGAAAGAGACTGAGAGAGGAGCAGGGAAGGCTTGGTGGTTCAGAAGTGAGCAGTGTGCACGGCAAGTACACTAAAGACACTTATTCCCACTCGTGTAGGTTTCCCAGATCTTTATCATGCTCTCACCAGAACAGACTGCATTATCATCATGCATTCACTGCAGACAACTGAGAAGCATCGACTCCCCAGGCACTAAGGCCAAAGTCAATTTCGGTGCGCCCGACGAACTGAGGAAATGCCCTAAAAGTGCGGCTTTGGAAGAAACTCTAGGAGGAAGCGCACGCTCCCTTACGGTATAAAGTCAGCCTCAGGGCAATGATGTCCTGCATTCACCGGTGTCAGTGAAATTCGACAAACTACCCCTTTTCGTTTATGAGGTACCAAGGGAAAGACCGCTTCACACTAAGCAACCCGCCACGAGGAGCCTCGTTTTCCCAGCATGGAACAAGCTGGGAGAGGAGATGGGCTGGAAGGGTAAGTAATTGGATTGCAAAGCGTCAAAACGTGGATCTGCCGTTATCTGGTAGGCCGGAGAAGTAGAAACCGTGCATCACGATGGCCTGGGACACAATCCGACGCGGCATCCAAGCGTTGCCTTTTTGGTGGGAATTATCGTTACGTCCCTCTCATTGTGTCCCCATCTATTTCGTATCCAACCCCGAGTTAATGGCAGCGGGAGAGAACTGTAGGAACACGTGTATTCAGGGTCGCACAGGTTTTTGGTGAATGTATGAGCGCCAGTCTCAGGCCGGTCTGTCCAACTGTGATTAAATGACAACCACTGCCCCTCCCCCCCTCACAAAAGACCGCTGTTGCGTTAGACCAAAACGGGGGTCACATTTGCCCAAGACCCAGGAGATCGTGATCTCCTGATGACGCCACTAAATACAGCCTCGCTCGTAGTTCTCGAAGAAAACCTCGCCTGCTTAATGAAACAACCCAGTCAACTTTAAGCTGCGCGTCCCTTTCGACAAACACCGATAGTCCTGGATCTTCAAATTAGGCCACACAACCTGCTGTGCCAAGCTTCATTAATTCCAGAAAAGATTGTTTATTAAATTTCGTCTGATGACTGGCCTCGTTAGGGGAGAGACTTACCAGGAAAATGTCGAGCATACCATTGTCGACTACACGTGAAGGAACGCCCTTGGGACAGAGTAGTTCATTCACGCGAAGAAGAAACAACCTCTTCATGTGCAAAAATGCATCTAGGTTGTCTCTTGGCCACTTCCCCGAGGATTCGATATTAATGATGACTAGAAGACAGAAAGGAAGTAAAGGGAATCGGTTGGCCTCTAAACAGAAGACTTGGTTTAAACGCACTGGGTCTGGGTGCATTCAAGTCACGAAATATTCACCTTAAAAAGTCTGTCTCCAACCGATTTCAAAAAAAACAGGAGGTAGAGGCAAAAGACGCAGGCACTAACCAGAGCTCACGACTGGCTCTATCATAGGGAAGCTACAGATCACTGAGATGCCAGAGAGGCCTTCCCAACGATTTACAAAGTCCCGTCAAGCTATCCAAAAATAAGTGGGCAGAGTCTGTTGACTACGGCAGAGACGGGTGCAATCAGGTTACGCAAACCGGTCCTATGTGCGCAGAAGAACATCACACAGGTCCTAGAGCTGCCATGGGTCCAACACACCAAGCTAGCCACCCGCATATAATTACCCGTCCCGGTGCCCACCATCAACCTGACACTGACTGGAATTTTGGTGTTTCACTCTCCTCCTCCCCTCCCCAAATCCGAGCTACAGCATAATTATCTACTTGTCCACGTCTTTTTACTCATTATTTTAATAGCAATAATAAATGCACAGGCTTGAAGAGAATTTTTCTAAAGCAGACGTATGCTCGCCCAAATTGTCTTTTGAAATCCTAGACCACTCAGGTTTTCAGAAGAAATCAGGATCTGAGGTAGAAACGTGCGACCACCGCAGACTGTCCATCTTCGCAGTAGTTGGAGAATGATCATCCCGTGAACAGTCCGGCCTACTCAGGAAAAGGTTTACGAAGCAGCAGAGGCGGGAACACTTTTTAACTCTCTTCACTAAAGTCCCTAAGCCTCACAATCCTATGCTTTTCGACCTCTGCTGGCGCAAGTAATCAATTACGATCGGGTTCGATAACAGCGGCTATAGAGTCTAGGAAAAGAGTAGATCAAAAGAAGAGGTGTTCATCAGGAGAGGTTAACTGGAGGTCTGACATTTCGAGTAGTTAAATTAAGATTTTCAGGGTGTGAGAAAGCATGCCCAATCGTCCCGAATTAGAAATTACGCAAAAATGTAGAAGACGCTGTTTAGAAACATGGCAACGACTGGAAGAAAGTTTTGATAAATGAACACCACGGACAGATGACTCAGCGAGTCTCTGCACTCAGTCGAAAAACCCCGAGCAGCTAATAGTACTTCACAAATTCCCGTGTTAGAGATATGTTCGTGGTTAGATAGGCATGTTTGAGTTGAGAAGCCCAGAAAAGAGCGTCTTCAGCCCAAAAAACCTACATTGGTCGGCAAATCTTATTTTGGAGGTCTGTCTAGAAGGCCTATGAAGTAGTCTGTCAGGACACTAACGGATACACTTTTAGAGATGTCTATTCAGGAACTACTTCGGTCGGATCTTATTTCGTAGCCATACCGGCAGTAAACAAGCCCCAGCCTAACCCCTAACCCCACCCCCTAAACCTAACCCCTAACAGGAATGGCTAGGAAATAAGATCTTGCCATTACATCTGCCGGGGCTGTACTCCAACTGTTTTGAAATCCAAATAGTGTCAGCTTAAGTAATGTGCCGGTTGCAGCATGAGGAGACAGTGGACGCCTAATGGGCGGACAGGGCGACTCGTACGGAGGGTCAATGCTACGACGAATTGACCTTTTCCGGACTCACAAAACGGCAAATACGAAGGCCAAATCCAACGTACCGTATATGGGTTGCAGAGTGTGACGCACATCCTTCCAGGAGAACGTCTTTAGTTTCTTCTCACGTGCCCTCTTACGCAGTCTACGAGGAACGGTCAGAATAGGAGGAAACACGGAGGTATCACGAAACTCTGAAGAGATTGCTTGGACACCAACAATGTTAAGGGGTAAATGGCTGTTGAGCTCCTGTAGGACTGAATTCAGTCTATCCACAGTGCGGATGAGATGCAGGCAACTAGCCCGAGGGGGAAACTCGACGGCGGTATGTGCAGGAGCGAAGGAAGACAAAAGGCTGTTAAGGCGATCCGAGGTCACTTGATACCAGTTCCGAGCGGCTTTCTGATCTCCCAACTTAAAGTGCCTTGAAAGAAAGGGAAGGAGGGATGAGCAGTGTCAATATGTGGTTTTCACCTGTGTTCGCAACGAGATGCGAATGGGTCTGAGAGAGCATAAAACAACACGAGTAACCAAGTCACTACGACAGAGCAGGTAGAGAGGCCGAACACCGCACGAGAGACAGCGATTCGAATTAGAGCAGGATGCTGTCCGCAGTTGCAAATGGGGCCACTGAGGTATCTGATCGCGATCACCAAAGTCGCCCGCGGTTTTGGCATGACTGATTGAAGACGTAAAAAGCTATTACAGGAACCCCTCCCCGTCTTACGGGTCCCCTTGCACCAAACTCCCAGGGAGTACCTATTCCCGTGTCTAGTCCAGTGCTGGTTTTTCTGAAGCATTAGCCTACCTTACTGCCTAAATATAAACACACAGGGGTTTACTTGTGCACCATCCCAGATACTTGCACAAATACCCCCGGAAAAGGCTGATACACGGGCAGCGTGAACTTCTGACTCATCTCGAAAGTTTTCCTAAAGGTAGTCGTATATGTCTTAGGAGATGTGGCCAGATTTGCACCCATTTTCTCGTACGACATTGATTCTATTTCTCATTTAGTACTTGAAGAAGGAGGATATTAAGGCTTTTGAAAAAAGTGATAATAAGGATGAAATACCGGAATGGGGGCTGTATCCTCCCCTCCCCCCCGGCAACACAGGTGACCTTGGTAGAGGGGCGCTCACCGATCGTTCTTACGGAACTCACTCCTTCTGTTGTGCCTTACGGGCTCTCTCAAGCCCAACCAACAGCCGCACAGCGGCGCATGATACAGGTAGAATGCTATTATCGACAAACACAAGGGACACTGGAATGGTCATTTCTGGCTTAGTGGCCGTCGTCAGCCAGTCATACCCAAGCCCGAAGTGTGGAACACCCGAGCCTCGAACTCGCGACCTGTTAGTTAGAAGTCAAACACCTCTAACCGCTGGGCCACAGGCCCGTTGTCCCGTGGGTTTGGATCGGGAATATACAATGGTAGAGGGGCGCTCACCGATCGTTCTTACGGAACTCACAGGTGACCCTACGCCAAATTTCAGGAAGGGTGCCTACTCCCGTGCCCAAACCTCGACCTTGACCCAAACATTAAGCTCAACCCTAACCTTAACTTCAACCGGACTCACCCTGGAGTGTAGCTCATGTTCATCTATATGCTGGGGGGGAGGGGTTCCTATTCCCATGTCCAACTAGTCGCCAGGATTTGGAAAGGCCTGGAGGGACTAGTAGTTTGAAAGTAATTTGAACGTTATTTCACACATAAAACTTACTTTTGGGAGGCAACGAGAATGTCGCGCAAGGTCACCCGTAGCACGGGCGAGGGTTCCTATCCCCGTGTCCAATTGATTTACGACCCGGAATACAGCTAGAACGGAAACCTAAGAACTAGTTCCCACACAGGCGTTTAGACAGAAAAAGGGGAGTCCAGTCAAAACACTGCAAGCCTTTTTCCTGTTTGTACGTTCCACCAGAGGTTATCAATGGTAACAAACCGTCCACCACAAAGCAACGACGCGCCAATTAGAAATAACGAATCCATTTCTCATCCGACGCAATTGAAACCTTAGGGGAAACTCGACTCCAGGAATGAGAATTCTGGTCTAATAGGGGATTTTCAGGAAGTTTTAGGAGAATTAACAGCAGCAAAAGCCATATTCTGACGCATACGTAAGTAGCACTCAGGTTTGCCAACTCAACATCGTGTTTAGGCCAGCGCACATCGGGCTGAGAGTTGGATTATTTCATATACACAACGTACCGGGCAAGGAGATGGTCGACGATTTGCAAAGTGACATTTTGAGAAGATTCCCACACTACACACTCAAACAGGTCTCCATCGACATGTCGAAGCTCAGATTTACTGCCCCAGAATTGCCTAAAAGTTTTGCCACCTTCTGTCCCACTGGGCGGTCCACGGATGATCAGACTGTGTGCCAGCGAGGGATTCAGACGCAGGCCAATGGAAGGCAGTTGTTTCTAGAAAATCGAAGTTACGAGGATGAAAAACTTACGCCAGATCTCAATGGAATGAAGAAGGATCTGATTAGGGTTACACGTGTCCCCAGCCCTTCAATGAGTAAAGAAACAACGTCCTGAAGAATGTACAGTACTTTATCCTCCTCCGAGGAGAGACGACCCTTGAAGATAGGAGCATCGGGAAGAAAGCTAAAAATAGAATTGGTGCATAAGGACGCACATCACCAGATGATCAAATTCTTCAAGCGGATCCATCCAACCACAGTGCCTCCCTCCTCTACCAAAAGGAAAAATGTTAAAATAAGCATATGAAAAAACAGGAGGACAACGGACAACGTAGCGCACAACAGTTTCCAAGTTGGTGGACATAAAACAACACGTTTTATGTGTAGGTGTTTACGGTCTAGTACTGCTAGTCAACTGTTTCAAAGCAAGATGAGAACAGGTCGACCAACTGCATGTCCATAGATATCAGTCAAGAAGACAGTGGCACCGGATGTGGGGGAAAGATTCGGAGGTAGTCTACAGGGATGTGTCCGACTATTGCTACTGCAGTAGTCGCCGTAGAAACGGTCAGTCATGACAACTGTGGATAAAAATTCGATCTTGCACACAGGATACATGTGGAAGCTGTTACCACTGGCAACACCAACAGACGGAAACACAAGTGTTTCGCCGGCTCCAGTATCCCGAACATCACAAATCAGTGTGATCCACGACAGTCGTCCTATAAATAGCGTTCCAAGTACAAAGCCTGAGGACTGTAGGACCGGACATTTTGTTTGAATCCATGCTTTTTCACTTTCTAATACGGCCACCACGGCGGCGATGAGCATTCAGAAGAATCGGACATGACTTAGTGAATGAGTTACGCAAGGATGACGCAACGCCGGCCTAAATCTGTGATGGCTAACGACCAGCGTCATGCATTCTATAAGTAGCCCCCTCTAGGCGAAGTTTATCATCAAAGATATGAGCCAGTCGGTGTCATTATTTTTTGGAGGAACCGGCTAGTGTCGCATAATGAGCTGTGCATGACTCAGGCAAGCATGTGCAAACGTGTGCTCCTATCCATCCATCAAGTGCCGGCTCGCCTAACTTTGGAGTCATTGTTCTAGAATGTAATTTTTGTGAAGGTATAATTACGAAGCTTACTAAGAAAAGGCGGGTGTCCAAGGAATCGGTGCTACTTCCAAAGTGACAAGAAATTAGGTACTTAGGATCAAGGTTCCCGCGTTCCTTATATTAGAAAATCAACCATAGTTTAATATAGCTTTACATCAAGTTGTGGAAATTGTCTGTAATCTGGGTATTGCTGTGGGACATTTCAAAACATCTTTAAGATTTCTAACGGCGCTTTCTTTACTTAACCAATGGTTGAAAGGAATAGATAAGAAAACTGGGACAGTGTGCCGCTGGTGTGGGATTCAAAAAGACGGCTCATCTGCTTGACGCTACACAGCGTTGCAGGAGTGCACGGAACAACATCTTGTCAACCATAACTTCGAATTGTTTTGCGGGAACTGAACCAGGCGTTAAATTTCCAAGGAATATCTACCGGCTTATTTACCTACAGTATATGACCTAAATCCTATAACCACAAAGGACAGTGAAGCCGCGATGCCTTTTGAACCGGATCTCTGTGTTTTTCTATCTCTATGAAATTAAAACGCAACGATAATCAGTTCACTTGGCCCACCCACACTGCCTTCCTGCTAGAAGGGGGCCCTATCCGCGCGGTCTCGATGTATGTATTGCAGTGGTTCGTCTACAGTGATTTCATTCGACAATTCTGGAACTGATTGTTCGGGAACAATGGGTAGACTCTCGGTCGACGCTAGGAGTAAACGTTCTGTTAATCATAGGTATTTTGGCAGATTTTGAATAATTCATATTGATTCAACTGTGAAAAACTCGGCGCCTCGGTGGGATTATTCAAAATCTGCCAAAATACCTATGAATTACGTTAGCCTGGTAGTCATCTGGTGAATTCTAGGTGAATTACTAAGGAAATCCTGCTTGGGCAGTCAACTTACTGTATCAGATTTGGTGGATTCCAGACCTTGCAGTAGGTTGGGCGGGTAACTTGACCCAAATGTGATTAAACTCGCGTCGCCCGGTGGGGTCTCGTAACTCAGATAGTTAGAGCGTTGGCTGTTCTGTTAATCGTTTTAATTAGTCGAAATGCGCAGTAATTTATGGGTTGTCGATCATAGTTGCGTCGCGTATGATGTATGTGGAGGGTAGGATGACGTTGAGAGTGCGGAATGGTCCTTCTCACTGATAGACATCTTCCGTTACAATGGTCCCGAAGAGTAATGCCTTTGTGTCGGTTAGCGGCGCTTAAACGAGCTGACTACACACGTGTCCTTTCTGCTTTTCCAGAGAAAATCAGTGCGATTAAATTATAGCCCATTACTTAATCCGTGACCGAACTCCGCGATTTTCCTGAATTAATGTCAAATTAGTGAAAAAAATTTCTGCACTCCACATCGACTGCTCGACCACTCCGTCGTCTAACAGAGAAAGGACGCGAGTTCAGCCGGACTGACGAATATCGACAGCTTAAAAGCGCGCCTCGTGTCCGCATCCTTACACGAGGCAGACGAACCCCGTCTATACCTGATACAGAGGCCAGCGGGTTCCCCATGGGTGAGCACTATCACAGGCTGATTGCACCGGAACAGAAAGACCTGTATGCTTCATAAGTAAGACGCTGTCCAAACCGTGACGCAACTATTGCACCTACCGTCGCGAACTCTTCGCATTAGCAGCGTTTACTAAACAGTTTCGTGTGTGCTCAATCGAACTGCCATAGATCTCTTTAGCGGCTACCGGACGCAAATGATGCAGAAGGACAATTATCCTGGTGGCGGGAAAAAGCAGGTTATCTTCGCGTGTCAGTACCGCTCGGAGACTAAACACGCTACCGCTGATGCGCTATCCGGCGAGGCGACGTCTGGTTAAAAAGATATACTAAACACTGTAGTCAGTGCGGTACAAATAAATAGACCCACACGTTATGATTGGACCGTGGTGCAGAGCACCGATCCTGACGCGGTCATTGTTTATAATCACTAACGTACGGGCCGACACCGATCCACTGACGACCTCAGGAGATCATCTGAGGCCGTAAATGCCCTGCGCAACCACTAATCCGATTCCTTTTTTGACAACGACCTGTTTCTCATTAAAGATATTGTTAATTTCACACCTCGGGTTGTTATGCCCAGGAGCCTAGTAATTCAGGTCCTAACTAATATCCATCGTGAACAGTGCTATGTGGGCCAGGTGAAAATAAAAGTGCCAGCCAGACAGCGATCCTGGTGGCCACATCTACGCGAACAGGTGATTCCATTTTGCAACGCATGCCCTGCCTGCGCTTTCTTTAAAGCGTCTCACCAACGTTTTCGCGTGCCCCTACAATCCATTCCAACGGGTTTCTCATCCCAAGGAGTTGGTATCGGCATAATTGCACCTCTACCCTACTCCACCTCGGGACATCAGTATATTTTAGTTATGGTCGACTATTTAACCAGATGGGCAGAAGCAGTGCAACCCCGCGGACAGGATGCCTTATCAGTCACAACTGCCTTCCCCAACGACTGGGTCTGCCTTTTTCGCGCTTCTCTCCCCTTTGCGGGGCTAACTTTGGAAGTAAACTAGTGCGTGATGTACGCGACCGACAACGTATTCACTAGACAAGAACGACCACGGCGCACCCAGAAAGTGACGAACTAGGTGAGCGCGCTAATCGGAGTCTCATAAACCTTTTAAAGTAGTTTGCTAAACACCACTGACCCCTCAACAGGAATGCCAGGCTGCCGTACTCTCTGATGACTTATCGGTCACCGAACGAAACTTTCGACTACCCACTGATTCACACTTAATTATCGCAGATCCAAATACATATTCTCAGGTTCTCATATACTCGAACTCCAGGACATTATACGGACCACCCATAATTTAGCACGCAGTCACTTAAGCTCTACATACCATAGACAAAGGGAAAACTTCGATACGCAAACACATGGAATACCTTACCAAGAAGGCAATCGTGTGTGGCGTTACTGACCTATACCGCCTGTAGACATACACACAAAGATCATGCACCAGTGGGAAGGACCATTCCTCCACATAAATCATATGCGACGCAACTATGACAAACAGCCCGTGAATAACCGTTCATTTCGCCAAATTGGAACCGTTTATAGGACGTTTACTCCTCCCGTCGGCCAAGAGTCTACGTATTGTTCACGAATAATTGGCTCCAGAACCGTTGGAAGAAAGGAACCACTATTCTAAATACATCAGGACCCTGTGGACAGGCCCCTCGCCTAGCCGGAGGAAATGTGAGTGAGTCAAGTGAACTGATTACCGTTTCGTTTTAACTTCACGGAGAGAAAAAATACACAGAGACCCGGTTGAAGCGGCAGTGCGGCTTACACTGTTTTTATTTTTGGTAATCGGATCTTCTGCCGAAGTCGGCGTCTCACTCCCTGTGGCAGCCTCCCACTATACGCCCCTTATTTCGCCAAGTAACTGACCAGGACTTTGTTGTCAGAGCCGTCTCCCCTTTCAGCCGTGAATGAAGGTTTTAACGTCCCATGTGCATTCCCGATTCGTCAATTATTCTACCATTGTCAGTATCCATCGTGTAAACAGACTGACCTCTAAATTTCCCTCCACTTGACGATTGATGGTATAAACACTTGCGCAACCATGTCCGTACAGAACATGGGCGATCCCGAGTGCCAACGCGTCATCTCCAAGATGCGGATGCAGGGCGCTTCCTCGTCAGTGGTAGGACAAAGGGTATGGAAGATACGACGAGCGGCATACGTGCGAAGTCGTGTGTACTTGTTCTTTGCCCAATAGCGTGGTCCCATAAAACCCATTTTCTGGCATCAAGGACTTTATAGGCCACAGTACGGACGAAAATATTCAGAAAAACTGCGCTGCTAAATTTCGACCTAGTAACGGGAGTGGGGATAAGTATGCGAAAAATCACAAACGACCACGAGACAGCCTTGGGGCAGACTACTTACCACACACCAGAATCGTAAATGGCGCCCGAAGCGGTTCACGTGAACGAGGGGTGTGTCACGAACCTACCCGCTCAACGGTACTTTTTGTCACTCAATACTTTTATTTCCTTTTTCAGGGCCGCGTTCAACGCCCACAAACAACCCGAACAATCACAAGGGTCCTGATAACGTTCAATTTGTCTAATGTTTTCCCTTGTTTATGCAGCCGGCTGCGTTCCCCCCTTTCGTAATCTTATTGTTAGGGCTTAGACTGCTCCCATCCGTTTTCTCCCCCTCTTCTGTACCCCTTTATTATCTCACTCGTTATTATAACAGTATCCCATTCGGGATATATCCTTCTAATTTTTGACGTGTGGCGTCTGCGTGCCGATCACTGAGGCACTTATTACTCAGTTCCCGTAGGTCGTCACAGGTGTGTGATGCCTTTTGTGTTCAAATTAAAGGGTTGAAATCTTTATCAAGCCTCTTAGAGATTTCCGTACCTCTACTTTAAGACTGTTGAGGGGTTAGAACACTAAAAAGCACTAGAGTCGGCCTAGCATTGACCTTGGCCTAACCGTGAAGGACCGTGTATTCCGTGAACTGTGCATAATTCGGGTTCCTAAATCGACATCCGATTTTAATTTTCTGTTTCTTGACAGACCCTTCACGCATATTTGCTTTTCTCATTTACTGCTTTTTGGCGACGGTATGTTTATATGCGGTGCGTAGGGGTGCCTAGCTGTGGGTTCACGTGACGATCGTTGTGGGTCGCTCGCTGGCTTGCAGGTATAGATTATGTCTCGAGTCCATTTGCTGGCACCCAACTCTTACCTATGGCTCCCCCGAAGCTATGTTTCGCCTATCAACCACACCCCGGTAACCGCCTCGGCCGGTGGGCTAAACCAGGCGAGGGCATCCGTCTGTGTTTCATCGCACACGGTAATCTCGGTTCCGCTGGCGGGATGGATCACCTCATCGGCATCTCCGAGATGACGCTCCGTCTTGAACACCGTAGAAGGCCACAAAGTAGGTGAACCCCCAGGTAAGCGAACATTGCTCTGCTGCCTTTGCTTTCGCTTGTTCTTGTCTGCTAGATCTATGTCTGCTTGTTTGTGTTTGTCCTTGTTGAGAGCTAAATACCGTTCTGCTGAATTTTCTGTGTTGCTATTCTTGCCTGCTTGCCTTTGGCCTGCTTGTTTGCGTCTGTCCTTACTGTAAACTAGATGGCGTTCTGTTGAATTTGTCTACATACGTTTATATTTAAGCAACCAGGTAGCATACAGAGGGTGGGAAAGCTCTGCTTCCCGTCTCTCTACTCTTCTCCCGTCCCCTCCCCCTGTAAGCCCAACAGCGTGTTCGTAGGCGGGTCCAGGCTAACTTGGACCGTCCTCCCATTAAACAAAAGTCGTAGCTCATAGTGGAGTACGACAGCCGTTTGGGACAACTGAGCAGCCCTATTTAGGGAGAGCACTGCTCACCCCTGCGAACGGGAAGGGACTAGAAAAGGTGCACTAAACAAATGCTGGAGACCCACGCCGTCTGCAGACTGACCACGGCCTCAGACGCTAAACTCACAGTCGAAACAACCAAATAAGAAACAAGACTATCTCTTTCCCTCCTTCTCCCCTCCGCTCCACTTGCCAGACTGGTAGGGTGAGTTTACTCACTCTGGAAGTCTGGAATTTTCGTTCCGTTTCAGACAATCTGAGGAACAATCGACCGGAACAGAGGACAACGAAAGTGGCTCAGGAACTGGCGCGTTACAAGGTGGACATCACAGCACTCAGTGAGAGCCGGCTCTCCGAACAAAGCAAACTGGAAGAGGTGGATGCCGGCTGCGCCTTCTTCTGGAGCGGTCGCCCCAGGGCACAGCGAAGGGATGCGAACGTCGCCTTTGCCATCCGGAACGCCATCGTGGGACGGCTGCCCTGTCTGCCGCAGGGCATCAAAGATCGTCTGATGAGCCTCCGCCTGCCTCTCCGCGGAGGCAAATTCGCCGCAATCATCAGTGTCTACGCCACCCTGATGACCAGTCCTGATTCTGCAAGGGCCAAGTTCTACGAGGACCTGCACGCATTCCTGGTGTCTGTGTCGAAGGCGGATAAGTTGATTTTCCTTGGTGACTTCAACGCCCGCGTCGGCATAGATCATGCTGCCTGGAGAGGAGTGCTAGGTCCCTATAGTCTTGACGACTCCAACGACAATTACCTGCTCCTCCTACGAACCTGCGCCGAACACCGACTCATCCTGACCAACACTTACTTCGGTCTTCCGATGCGAGAAGAGGCCACCCGGATGCACCCTCGGTCGCGATGTTGGCACCCGATGGACTATGTCCTCGTCCGGAGGTAAGACCGGCAGGACATGCTGGTGACAAAGGCGATTCTGGGTGCAGACGGGTGGACCGACCATCGTCTCGTCATTTACAAGATGCGGATTCGACTACAACCTCGTAGGGGATCTCAGGGCAGCGACCCCCAGGTAATCTGAGTATTATTTTGGTGTCTTTGTTTGCTCACCTTCTCCGTTTCCTCAACGAGATAGCTCAACGTTTAGCCAACCTTCCAGTCGCTGCTGCCGCCGCCGCTGACGTAGCCGTCTCCGTGGTAACCCGATGGTATCAACTGCGGGACACAGTCCAGTAGACGGTTCTGGCTGTCCATGGTCGCGCATGCCGCCAACACCAGGACAGGTTTGCTGACAGCGACGCCGCCATAAGCGACCTGCTCGCCGAGCGGAACCGCCCACACAAAGTCTACGTCGACCGCAACACCGACGACAACAAAACAGCCTTCTACCGTAGCCACCACCCTGTGCAACAGCGGCTGCGCGAGATGCAGGACGCCTGGACGATCCAAAAGACCGAGGAGATCCAAGGATACGCGGACCGCAGCGAATGAAAGAACTTCTTCTCTGCGATCTAAGTCGTCTACCGTCCGCCAACCAAAGATACTGGACCTTTTCTCAGCGCCAACGGCAGTGCCTTACTTAGTGAGACGATACAAATTCTACAGCGATGGGTCGAACACTTCAGAGGGGTCCTCAACCGCTCCTCCACCATCTCCGACGACACCCTTGCCCATCTGCTTCAAGTGGAGACCAACGTCAAACTCCACCTCCCGCCCCCTCCCCACAAAACTATCAGGGCCGTGCAGCAGCTCTCCAGCGGGAAAGCGCCCGGATCGGAGGTGAGCCCTGTTGAGATCTACAGGCACGGTGGCCCCTAACTCATGGATCATGTGGCGTCAAGGAGAAGTTCCGGGATTTCAAGGGCGCCAAAATCCTCCACCTACACAAGCGGAAAGGTAACCGCCAGCCCTGCGACAACCACCGAGGCAAACCCCTGCAGAACATCGCCGGGAAAATATTTGCTCGCATTCTTCTAAACCACTCGAACAACCATCTAGAGCAAGGTCTCCTGTCGGAAAGCCAGTGCGACTTCCACCGTTATCGTGGAACCACGAACATGATTTTCGTCGCACGCCAACTGCAGAAGTACCAGGAGATGTGGACCCACCTGTACTCTACCTTCGTTGATCTGACGAAAGACTTTGATACGGTGAGTCGCGAAGGACTGTGGAGAATCATGCAGAAATTCGGCCGTCCCGAATGATTCAATCAGATGGTGCGTCAGCTCTACGACGGCATGAAGACGCGAGTCACGGACAATGGAGCTGTCTCAGAGGTTATCACAGTGACCAACGGAGTGGAGCGTGGCTGCGTCCTCGCGGCTACTCTCTTTAGTCTCATGTTTACTGCCATGCTGATGGACGCCTTCCTCGACGAACGCCCCGGGATCCGCATCGTCTATAGGACTAACGGGTCAACTGCTCAACCACCGGAAGATACATTTTCAATCGAATGTATCCACAACCACCGTCCACGAACTTCTGTTCGCCGATGACTGCGCGCTCAATGCAACTACTGAGGGAGACATGCAGTGGGGCATGGATCTCTCCTCCGCCGCTTGCGAGAACCTCGGTCTGGTCATTAACACGGAGAAGACGGTGGCCATGCACCAAACGCCACCCAACACTGCCCACAATGCGCCGCAGCTCAGCGTGAACGGAACCCATCTGCAAGTGGGGGACAACTTCACTTATCTAGGCAGCACTCTCTCCCGCAGCACCAAAATCGACGACGAAGTGGCCCACCGGATTTCCAAGGTCAGTCAAGCCTTCGGTTGTCTTCAAAACACAGTTTGGAATCGTCACGGTCTTCAACACAGCACTAAACAGAAGATGTACAAGGCCGCCATCCTACCGACGTTGCTATATAGAAAAGAGACCTGGACGGTGTACATGAAGCAGGCGCGGAGGCTCAATCACATCCACCTCAGCTGTCTCCGGTGAATACTGAAGCTAAGGTCGCAGGACCGAATCGCCGACACTGACGTAATTGAGCGGACGGCAATCCTCAGTATCTGTATCATGCTTAGGCAGCTGTACCTGCGTTGGTGCGGCTACCTCATGTGGATGAACGACAAGAGGCTACCCAAAAGACTCATCTATGGAGATGTCGCGACGAGTTCACGCCCACAAGGAGGTCAAGTTCGGCGCTACATGGATACTCTGAAAACCTCCCTGAAGGCCTGCAGATAAACTCGGCAAACTGGGAATTCCTCGCCCGGGAGCAACCTATGTGGAAGAGAACAGCGAAGGCAGACGCAGCAATCTCTGAAGTCAACCGCATTACCGCCGCCTCGCAACGCCAACCCTCAACCGCCTCCCGCGTGTTCGAGACGTCAACGGACATTCCGGACGCCAACTGGATTTGTTGACCACCCCCGGACCGACTGCATCACTCGAACTGCACTAACCGTCGTCTCTCCGTCCGCCACTCCCTCGCCTCTCACGCCGTCAGCTAACGCTGATCACACTCCCGAACCTCCACTATCACACCGTCCTCCTCCTCCTCCTCCTCCTCCTCCTCTGTCTCCACCGCCTAAACTTCGGCCGTTGTGGCGTTTGCCAAGCCCATCAAGACTACACACTGTTCTGACATATCAACAAACACCAATACCATCACCGTCAGCACCAGTGACGAGGACCGGGTCTATACCTATCCTCATTGCGGCCGCATCTTCATCTCACACATCGGCTTCGTCGGCCACTTGCGAATCCATCGCACGGAGACTGGCAAACCAGTACCTGGAGCACCAACCTACACCTCTCGCATCCACCACCACTGCCCACACTGCCCACGCACATAAACGCATCGCATGGACCTATTAGGCCACGTGCGTATCCACGGGGATGGCATTGACTGCAGCGCCGAAACACCTAGCGCATCCAGCACACCCGCCATGCCTAGACCCTCCCTCACCCGCCGCCCTGCGCGCCCACAGCCACCAGCTCCATCACACTCAGCACATCTTGCACACTCACCATGCTTAGCTCGACTCACACCCAGTAGCCCAGCGCGCCCACCACCACCACCAGTTACACCACCAACATAGCCAAATCTGATAATGACACCGCCGAATTCTCATGTCCACACTGTCTCCCTACATTCACCTCGCGCATTGGCCTGGTCGGTCACTTGCGAATCCATCACACAGAGGCTGGCGAACCAATGCCTGGAACACCAGCCTACGCACGCCGCATCCGCCTCCACTGTCCACACTGCACTCGCACATTCATTCACCGCATGGGTCTATTATGGTACATGCAAGTCCACGAAAACTTGCGGTAGCCAACCGCCGGCTGAACCACACCACCACATCCTCACCCACCAGCACCTCACCGCACATCAATATCACCCACCGCAAGCACCCAACTGCCACCTCCCACGCAAGTGAGAAGTTAGCGTCTCGGCCCCTTCACCATGCGTCTCTCTTGAGGCATGTGTGTTCGGAATCTGAGTAGCAGACGGTGCGTCGAGGGCCGGGGCTCGGAAGGTAGCCGACTGACGCCCTAACTCAGTCCCTTCAATCTGCCCAGTTGTGTGTGTGTGTGTGTGTGTGTGTGTTGTGTGGTGGCAGACCGGTGGGCTGAGAGCCAGGCTGTCACGGACCCTTCTCAAGCGGTCTGTGACACTCTCATGTATGTGAGGCGTCTGTGTGTACTTTATGCATAGTGCCTCTCAGTCAACGACTGTTTGGTTACCCTAACCTTGAAGAGTGACGGTCTAGGCTAAATGTAGGGCCACCTGTCGTCCTTCCTGAAGGCTGAACGCCTTGTCTTTCTGTCCTCGAATACGTTTATCCTTTCTGTGATACAATGACTACATCTGATCGTAGTTATGTCCAGCACGCCCGGGAGTTTTTCCCGTAAGTTCTTCTCTCACATTCTATCTACTATTTCATATACTCGAAGATCACAATTAGTTAGTCTAGCATTCTGTCCATTTTTTGCGATTTCCGATGCACATCAATTCTTATTCCGATCTTCAACGGGTTGACGTCCACACTCCCGTCAAGCGGCCTTTTAACACACATAACGCCTCCATTGTAATTCTACCCTCCCCCCTCCTCCACTTTACGCTTAAGAGTTCGCCCCTCTTCGGCTCCGCTTATATTTAAATTGTAATGATCTCCCAGTTGAAATTTAATCATCACCTCCTTTGTCTTTGTCGGTAATATCACTCTGCCTATATATCATGCGCCGCTGTGCGGCTGCTGGTTGGGCTCGAGAGAGTGCCCTTAAGGCACAACGGACCGAGTGAATTCCGTATGAACGATCGGTGAGCGCCCCCTACCATCACCTGGCTTATCAATATTCAGAGTGGAAGTGTATAAGCACCTCACCACGGCTGCATAAATTTCTATTTTCACTCCTTACATAAGCCCCCAACTTCGGAAGTTTAAAATAGTCTTAATGTAAGCTAACTGTTTCTCCTACGTAATTCACTTTTCACCCCGAAGTTCTCTTGTAAACTGACTACTCTTTATGCTTTATAGCGGTTATTAAATGCACGGACGTGATGTATGGTGTGACCGATGGGCCAAGCCGTCGAAAAGCCATTTTGGTTTCCGACAACATCGAAGAACCACCTACCTGATGTTCGCGGCCCGGCAATTGTGAGAAATGCTCCAAGAAATGAATACTTATTTTAACGCTACCTACGTAAACCTGACAAAGACCTTTGACATCGCGAATCGCTACAGATTCTGATGGATCATGCTGAAGTTCGGCTGTCCTGAGCGCTTTACGAGCATGTTGCACCGGCTCCACTACAGGATGATGCGAGCGTCGCGACAGTGGAACAGTGTTAGAGGCATTCGCAGTGATCACTGGAGTGAGGCGGAGCTGCGTGCTCACTACCACCCTTTTCAATCTCAGGTTCTCTGTCATGCTGATGGAAGCCTACCGGGATGAGCGCCCTGGAATGAACGTCGTCTGCAACCTTGACGGTGGCTTCTCAACATCTGAAAAATGCAAGCATCCAGGCGGTACTCGACAACCACTGCCAATTAACTCTTCTCCACAGACGACTGTGCACTCAATTCCACGGCGGAAGCAGTCGTGCAAAGAATTGTAAGTCTACTTGCCTCCGTCTACTCAAACCTTGGACTGCCTATCATCATAAAAAACGGTGGTCACGCACCAAACAACACGAAGGGGGAACACCCTACTCCCAGTATCAACATGAATGCCACCCGACTCGTATTGATGGACAAGTTTGCTTCCATAGGTAGCACCATCTCACGGAATGTCAGGACAGACGACGAAGAAGTCCATCGGATCTCCAAAGCCATCCAGGCTTTCGGGCGGCCGCAGGCCTACTTCTGGAATCGCAACGGACTTCGATTCAACAGAAAGATCAAAATGTACAGAGTGGTAATCCTAATAACGCTACTGTACGGGATGGAGCCATGAACCGTCTAAGCAAAACCAGTCAGGCGACTCAATCATTTCCACCTCACCTGCTCCCAGAGAATGAGAAACTGAGACAGGATCCCGGATATGAAAGTTCTGGAATGGAGAGGAACTGTCAGCATGCACGCTATGCTGAAGCAGCTGGAACTACGTTGGAACGGTCACCCTATTTGGATGAACGATTAGTCGCCGTCAAGGGGACTCTTCTACGACGACATCGCAACGGGCGCTCGGCGATGAGGAGGATAAAAGCGACATTAAAAGGACACCTTCCGACCATAATTTTAAACGAACGGCCCAATTAATTGGCCTTGATCTGGTCGTCCGTTTATCTAAAATTCTGGTGGATTTTTTCACATGACGCTTTGATGACGAACAGCCAGACAAACCCTCCGAAACGTCACATATGCAGTTCAATTAATACGGCGAACCCTACACATTTCGCAGAAACTAGACTGCTACGATCAGGGGCCCAAACCCGGAAAATGGAGAACACTTTTATGCACTAGAATGTGTATGAACTAGTTGGAAGATACATGGGAAAACACCAACACAAGTTGTACACAAACCAACGACTGCACTTCGCAACCAGCGTGTACAGCCTAAGGAGAGAGTTGGCTACTTAGATACGGAAGTCGTCTATAAAATACTATGCGACACCCGCAATGCAGTTTACCGCGGTCAAAGGGAAAAATATGTCGTTATACACTTCGACGAACACCATTTGTAGTAAAAAGACGAGACAATTTATTCCAAGTTGTCGTGCATACGCTGAAAACTGGACGTAAATTCGCTTGGAACAAGACTTGCATTATAGGTGTCTGAAGGGCCAAGAGTTTTAGAGACCACATATCCCGACAGCTCATGCATCAATGGGCACATCGAATTGGACGCCATGTACAACAGTCTCAAAGGAAAATGGAAGCGGCGACAGCAAAACAGAATGTGATTCAAACCCACAGTAAATGCCGACTGACAGGAGTGAAAGCGCAAGATCGATTTTTTTTGACATGTTCAAATGTTAATTTTTATTCACGCTTGCTTAACGCCTGGGGACAGCTCGGAGAACCAGACTCCACAATTT